GGCGAAAATAGCGCGGTTTTTGGCCGCTAGCGGCGAAAATCGCGCGATTTTTGGCCGGTAGCGGCGAAAATCGCGCGATTTTTTCCCGCTAGCGGCGAAAAATCGCGCGATTTTGGCCGCTAGCGGCGAAAATCGCGCGGTTTTTGGCCGCTAGCGGCGAAAATCGCGCGATTTTTGGCCGCTAGCGGCGAAAATCGCGCGGTTTTTGGCCGCTAGCGGCGAAAATCGCGCGATTTTTGGCCGGCAATGGCGAAAATCGCGCGATTTTTGCCCGCTAGCTGCGAAAATCGCATGGTTTTTGGCCGCTAGCGGCGAAAATCGCGCGGTTTTTGGCCGCTAGCGGCAAAAATCGCGCGATTTTTGCCCGCTAGCGGCGAAAATCGCACGATTTTTGGCCGCTAGCGGCGAAAATCGCGCGATTTTTGGCCGGTAGCGGCGAAAATCGCGCGGTTTTTGGCCGGTAGCGGCGAAAATCGCGCGATTTTTTCCCGCTAGCGGCGAAAATCGCATGGTTTTTGGCCGCTAGCGGCGAAAATCGCGCGATTTTTGGCCGCTAGCGGCGAAAATCGCGCGATTTTTGCCCGCCAGCGGCAAAAATCGCATAGTTTTTGGCCGCTAGCGGCGAAAATCGCGCGATTTTTAGCGGCCGCTAGCGGCGAAAATCGCACGATTTTTGGCCGCTAGCGGCGAAAATCGCCCGATTTTTGGCCGCTAGCGGCGAAAATCGCCCGATTTTTTGGCCGCTAGCGGCGAAAATCGCGCGATTTTTGGCCGGTAGCGGCGAAAATTCGCGCGATTTTTGCCGCTAGCGGCGAAAATCGCGCGGTTTTTGGCCGCTAGCGTCGAAAATAGCGCGGTTTTCGGCCGTTAGCGGCAAAAATCGCCGATTTTTGCCCGCTAGCGGCGAAAATCGCATGGTTTTTGGCCGCTAGCGGCGAAAATCGCGCGATTTTTGGCCGGTAGCGGCGAAATTCGCGCGATTTTTGCCCGCTAGCGGCGAAAATCGCATGGTTTTTGGCCGCTAGCGGCGAAAATGGCGCGGTTTTGGCCGTTAGCGGCAAAAATCGCCCGATTTTTGGCCGCTAGCGGCGAAAATCGCACGGTTTTGGCCGCTAGCGGCGAAAATCGCGCGATTTTGGCCGGTAGCGGCGAAAATCGCGCGATTTTTGCCCGCCAGCTGCGAAAATTGCATGGTTTTTGGCCGCTAGCGGCGAAAATCGCGCGATTTTTGGCTACAAACGACAAGAAAGTGTGTGAGGAACTGAATAAGAAATTCCAAGAGGTCTTCACCTTAGAGCAAGGAGAAATCCCAGAGATGAGAGAGGGAATAGCTAACCAGGAACCACTGGAAGAGTTTGAGATTACCAGCGGGGAAGTAAGGAAGTGTTTACTAGAATTGGATGTGACAAAGGCTATAGGCCCAGATGGAATCTCCCCTTGGATACTAAAGGAAGGAGCAGAAGAACTGTGCCTCCCGCTCTCCATGATGTATAACAAATCACTGGCAACAGGGGAACTGCCAGAAATTTGGAAAGCAGATAACGTAGTCCCGATATACAAGAAAGGGGATAGACAGGAGGCACTGAATTACAGACCAGTGTCCCTAACCTGCATACCATGCAAGATGATGGAGAAGATTGTGCGAAGAAAGCTAGTGGAGCACCTGGAGCGAAAGAACTTTGTAACACAGCATCAACATGGATTCAGGGATGGCAGGTCCTGCCTCACAGGGTTACTTGAATTCTACGACCAGGCAACAAAAATAAGGCAAGAAAGAGAAGGGTGGGCAGACTGCATATTTTTGGATTGTCAGAAAGCCTTTGACACAGTGCCACACAAGAGGCTAGTGAAAAAACTGGAGATGCAGGCTGGAGTGAAAGGGAAGGTACTCCGTTGGATACAGGAGTACCTAAGTAACAGGAGACAACGAGTCAGTGTGAGGGGTGAGGTCTCAGATTGGCGAGACGTTACGAGTGGAGTACCGCAGGGGTCAGTCCTTGGACCTATACTGTTTCTGATATATGTAAATGATCTTCCAGAGGGTATAGAATCGTTTCTCTCAATGTTTGCTGATGATGCAAAAATTATGAGGAGGATTGAAACTGAGGACGATAGTAGGAGGCTACAAGATGACCTAGACAGACTGAGTGAATGGTCCAACAAATGGCTGTTGAAGTTCAACCCGAGTAAATGCAAAGTAATGAAACTAGGTGGTGGAAATAGGAGGCCAAACACAGGATACAGAATAGGAGATGAAGTACTTAATGAAACGAACAGAGAGAAAGATCTAGGAGTTGATATCACACCAAACCTGTCTCCTGAAGCCCACATAAAGAGAATAACGTCTGCGGCATATGCGAGGCTGGCTAACATCAGAACAGCGTTCAGGAACCTGTGTAAGGAATCATTCAGAATCTTGTACACCACATATGTAAGACCAATCCTGGAGTATGCGGCCCCAGCATGGAGCCCGTACCTTGTCAAGCACAAGACGAAGCTGGAAAAAGTCCAAAGGTATGCCACTAGACTAGTCCCAGAACTAAGAGGCATGAGTTACGAGGAAAGGCTGCGGGAAATGCACCTTACGACACTGGAAGACAGAAGAGTAAGGGGAGACATGATCACAACCTACAAAATCCTCAGAGGAATCGACCGGGTAAACAAGGATAAACTATTCAACACTGGTGGGACGCGAACAAGGGGACACAGGTGGAAACTGAGTACCCACATGAGCCACAGAGACATTAGAAGGAACTTTTTCAGTGTCAGAGTAGTTAACAGATGGAATGCACTAGGCAGTGATGTGGTGGAGGCTGACTCCATACACAGTTTTAAATGTAGATATGATAGAGCCCAGTAGGCTCAGGAACCTGTACACCAGTTGATTGACAGTTGAGAGGCGGGACCAAAGAGCCAAAGCTCAACCCCCGCAAGCACAAATAGGTGAGTACACGCACACACACACGCACCACACACAGACACACGCACGCGCGCGCACACACACACACGCACGCGCGCACACACACACACGCACGCACCCCCAACTGAACAAGCACCAGCAGGATTTCCTCATTATTCTCGACTGCCTAAAAATCTTTTGAAACACAGTTTTGATCTACATTAATTGGAGAAACTGGTGGGACTAACTGGCAATTCACTGAGAAGATCCAGACTACCTAACAGACTGGAAACAGTCTGTTAGGTAGTCAATACAACACATACAGCTGTATCTCCTGCAGTTACGCAAGCACTTACGAACGTGTACATCTTTCCTCAATCTTTGACGGCTTTGGTTACATTTATTAAACAGTTTACAAGCATGAAAACTTGCCAATCAACTGTTGTTATTGTTATAAACAGCCTCCTGGTGCTTCGGAGCTCATTAACTGTTTAATAATTGTAAACAAAGCCGCCAAAGATTGAGAAAAGATGGACAGGTTCGTAAGTGCTTGCGTAACTGCTTCGTGATTCCTGTACGTCCCGTATCCTGTACGAGGCCCCTGGAGGCGTGTGTGTGGAGTGGTAGTGGAGAAGCTGATGTGTATACACACACCTGGAAACACATAGTGAGCATGGATATTAACAACCCGTTCTCGCACTTTCTTACAGTCAATATTGACTTATTTAATACGTGCATATGTGACATACTAAACGTACTAGTTTACCTTGAAAAGCTTCATAGAAAACACCGACCTTACCTAACCTTCTTAGTATGTTAAGATAAGCATCTTATTGCTTCGTAATTACAATTATTACTTAACCTATACCTATAATAGGTTAACTTAACCTATACCTATAATAGGTTAACTTAACCTATACCTATAATAGGTTAACTTAACCTATACCTATAATAGGTTAACTTAACCTATACCTATAATAGGTTATCTACAACGAAGTTTGTTAAACACGACAGGATAACGAAAGCTGGGTACATTGTGAACAAACTTTTGACACACTTCCCCCTATGAAAGGCAGTCGACTGTACGAACTTAGGAACCCTTCGTAACCGGGTTCTTTATAAACTGTGATCCTACTCGAGTTCAGAGGACCCTAATCTTGGTGGAAATGTAGTGTAATGTTTAAAAGGTAATATTATAAGACACTTAAACTATCCCGTTATAGAATCCATATATATATATAATATATACAACGCTATGAGAGGTGAAACGGATTGGCGTTGCTTAGCCCTTACGCTAGCCTGCTCCAAGGTTGACAATCATAGAGTGCTAGTGGCTACTAGCACTTTATGGCTAGTCCACTTGGCTAGTCCATCCAGGAGTAAAGTCCACAGCGCTCGACACTTGGCTAGTCCATCCAGGAGTAAAGTCCACAGCGCTCGACACTTGGCTAGTCCATCCAGGAGTAAAGTCCACAGCGCTCGACACTTGGCTAGTCCATCCAGGAGTAAAGTCCACAGCGCTCGACACTTGGCTAGTCCATCCAGGAGTAAAGTCCACAGCGCTCAACACTTGGCTAGACCATCCAGGAGTAAAGTCCACAGCGCTCAACACTTGGCTAGTTCATCCAGGAGTAAAGTCCACAGCGCTCGACACTTGGCTAGTTCATCCAGGAGTAAAGTCCACAGCGCTCGACACTTGGCTAGTCCATCCAGGAGTAAAGTCCACAGCGCTCGACACTTGGCTAGTCCATCCAGGAGTAAAGTCCACAGCGCTCGACACTTGGCTAGACCATCCAGGAGTAAAGTCCACAGCGCTCGACACTTGGCTAGTCCATCCAGGAGTAAAGTCCACAGCGCTCGACACTTGGCTAGTCCATCCAGGAGTAAAGTCCACAGCGCTCGACACTTGGCTAGTCCATCCAGGAGTAAAGTCCACAGCGCTCGACACTTGGCTAGACCATCCAGGTCGACCTCTGTCTTCCACTGTCCCGACTTCACTGCCTTCCCTGGCCTGCCTCTGGTCTCGTCACCATTCAGCCTGGTACACTAAAAGATGGGAAGCTAGGATTACTGGGAGGGTCGACTTGTACCCGGATCGTAGATGGCGCCGAAGTCCGTCACAATCTCCTTGAGAGCAAAGGGTAAGATCGTTGAATTAGAAGGTTCAGAACATACCAGAGGGAAGGGAGGAAAGACCACTGAGGGCAACAAAGAAAATAGTAGTGCTCAGAACACTACCTTCGGGTACACCTTCGTATTGTTGAAAAGAGGCAGAGAGAACGGTACCAAGCCTCACTCTAAAGGAACGACGAGAGAGAAAGCTTTGAAGGAAGAGAGGGAGATGACCACGAAGGCCAAAAGAACGAAGTTGGGACAGATTATGGTATCTCCAAGTGGTGTCGTAAGCCTTTTCTAGGTCAAAAAGGACGGCAACAACGGAGGTCTTCGCAGCAAAAGCAGTACGAATATAGATCTCCAAGTTCACCAGGACATCTGTCGTGCTGCGGCACTTGTGGAAACCAAATTGAGAAGGGGAGAGGAGGTGATGGTGTTGCAAGAACCACATCAGACGAACATTAACCATACGCTCAAAGAGTTTGCAGACACAACTCGTGAGGGCAATAGGGCGGAAGTCCTTAGGGGAGGTCCCGAGAGACCCGGGTTTGCGAATAGGGAGGACAACGGCATCGAGCCAGTCCTCAGGGACTGACGACGACTCCCGTCGTCGCTCGTCAGTCCTCAGGGACTGACGAGAGACACTCTGTCTCTCTCTCTGTTAGAGAGAGACAGAGAGAGAGACAGAGACAGAGAGAGACAGAGAGAGACAGAGACAGAGACAGAGAGAGACAGAGAGAGAGAGAGAGAGAGAGACATAGACAGAGAGAGACAGAGACAGAGAGAGACAGAGACAGAGAGAGAGAGACAGAGAGAGACAGAGAGAGACAGAGAGAGACAGAGAGAGACAGAGAGAGACAGAGAGAGACAGAGACAGAGAGAGAGAGAGAGAGAGAGACAGAGAGAGAGAGAGAGAGAGAGAGAGAGAGAGAGAGAGAGAGAGAGAGAGAGAGAGAGAGAGAGAGAGAGAGAGAGACAGACAGACAGACAGACAGACAGACAGACAGACAGACAGACAGACAGAGACAGAGACAGAGACAGAGACAGAGACAGAGACAGACAGAGACAGAGAGAGACAGAAACAGAGAGAGACAGAGAGAGACAGAGACAGAGACAGAGACAGAGACAGACAGAGAGAGACAGAGAGAGAGACATAGAGAGACAGAGAGAGAGACATAGAGAGACAGACAGAGACAGAGAGAGACAGACAGAGACAGAGAGACAGAGAGACAGAGAGAGAGACAGAGCTCCCAAGCGAACTCTACTTAATAGGATCTCATTATCAACTCACAAAGGATTATATTATGCAAAGTTCCCAAGATGGGGCGACAGAGGCAGTAATTATCCTCATAATATTGTAAACTGATAGTCGACGGGAACCACCACAAGAGATAAGGGGTCACTACCACAAGAGATAAGGGTTACCACCACAAGAGATAAGGGGTTACCACCACAAGAGATATATGGTTAAGGTAAACTGGTTTGGTAAACTGGTAAACTGGTACTCCACTTCCCTTCACACCATATTTAGGGAGGCATTGTAAGAACATTACTCCATTTCAACACGTACACACACGTACATGGAAACGTACACGTACATGGAAACGTACACACACATATATACGCACAGTCACACACATGTATAGCAGTCACACACATGAGACTGCTATACAAACTTGAGAGGCAGGCAGGAGTAAGCGGAAAGGCCCTAGTATGGGTGAAGAACTACCTAACAGGAAGGAGCCAGAGGGTAATGGTAAGGGGCGAGAAGTCGGACTGGCGAACAGTAACAAGTGGAGTACCTCAAGGATCGGTGCTGGGACCAATCCTCTTTCTAATTTACGTAAATGATATGTTTACAGGAGTGGAATCATACATGTCAATGTTTGCGGATGACGCAAAATTAATGAGATTAGTTGTGACAGACGAGGATTGTAGGATCCTCCAAGAGGATTTAAACAGGTTGCAGAGATGGTCAGAGAAATGGTTACTGGAGTTTAACACCAGTAAATGTAAAGTTATGGAAATGGGATCAGGTGATAGGCGACCAAAGGGACAGTACACAATGAAGGGGAACAACCTACCTGTAACGATTCGAGAAAGGGACCTGGGAGTGGATGTGACACCTAATCTAACTCCTGAGGCACATATAAATAGGATAACGACAGCAGCGTACTCTACACTGGCGAAAATTAGAACTTCATTCAGAAACCTAAATGAGGAGGCTTTTAGGGCGCTTTACACTGCCTACGTGAGACCCGTCTTAGAGTATGCCGCGCCATCATGGAGCCCCCACCTGAAGAAACACAAAGAAACTGGAGAAGGTTCAGAGGTTTGCGACGAGGCTTGTCCCAGAGTTACGAGGGATGGGATATGAAGAGCGGCTGAAGGAACTGAACCTTACGACACTAGAGAAAAGAAGGGAGGAGATAATTTTTTTTTGCAGGGATATTCCTGCGCGGGCCTTAAGCCTCTGGAGAGGAGATATGATAGGGACATATAAAATACTCAGGGGAATTTACAAAGTGGAAATAGATGACATGTTCACATGGAATAGTAACAGAACGAGGGGACATGGGTGGAAGCTGGAAACTCAGATGATTCACAGAGATGTTAGGAAGTTTTCTTTTAGCGTGATAGTGGAAAAATGGAATGCACTTGGGGAACAGGTTGTGGAAGCAAATACTATTCATACTTTTAAAACTAGGTATGATAGGGAAATGGGACAGGAGTCATTGCTGTAAACAACCGATAGCTAGAAAGGCGGGATCCAAGAGTCAATGCTCGATCCTGCAAGCACAACTAGGTGAGTACAAATAGGTGAGTACACACACACACACACACACACACACACACACACACACACACACACACACACACACACACACACACACACACACACACACGCACACACACACAGGGGAAGGAGCGTTCGTGCACAGGGAGTTATAAAGAACTTCTTTAGTGTCAGAGTAGTTAACAGGTGGAATGCATTAGGAAGTGATGTGGTGGAGGCTGACTCCATACACAGTTTCAAGTGTAGATATGATAGAGCCCAGTAGGCTCAGGAACCTGTACACCAGTTGATTGACAGTTGAGAGGCGGGACCAAAGAGCCAGAGCTCAACCCCCGCAAGCACAACTAGGCGAGTACAAGTAGGTGACTGTACACGCCCCCCCCCTCCCCTACACCCCCCTCCTCCCCACCCCTTTCACTAATAACTATGTACCGTGCACAATATTGCGAGAAAATTTGAACTTATACGAGTTCAAGTTTTACCAGAGATAAGGAGCGGGAGATGAGGCAGAAGAGGGGGGGGAGATGGGGCAGAAGAGGGGGGAGGGGGAGATGGGGCAGAAGAGGGGGGGAGATGGGGCTCCCTCTCCTTCCCCAATGGGAATATAATACAATAGAAAACGGTTAAAAGGGGTCAGCTCTCTCTCTCTCTCTTAATTCCCCTAATCTCCTCTCTAAATTCCTTAATCTCTCTCAATACATGGCCATTATCTCCGTGTCTCTGCCGCTCTGCCCACCTCCGGCCTCGTTGCAATGTCTGCAATGGAAAGGTTGTTGACCTTTGTACCTTTGGAGAGGGTCTTGACCTCACATGAGAGTGCTTCACAAATTGTGGTAATTATGAGTAGTTTTGTAATGGCTGAGAACTGGGGGGGTTATAGGCACTTGGGCACACGCGGGCACCTCCTCACACACACACACACGCACTCACACGCACACACACACATACACACACACACACACACACACACACACACTCACACACACACGTCTCCAAAGGAACATGGCCAGAAATATATGAAAGCCACTACTCCTCCAGATTACATCTGAAAATCGAACCCATTACCTTTGCTGTAGTGTCGAATACGACACAGTCCAGCCAGCAGTGGCTCTCACATGATTGACTGGTCTCACCACCCCCAAGACAGTTAACAGTCTCCTCACTATTTCCCGGTTCATGAGGAATCACGTAATTGGCGGAATGAGACATTATATTATATATATATATATATATATATATATATATATATATATATATATATATATATATATATATATATATATATATATAATATATATGTCGTACCTAGTAGCCAGAACGCACTTCTTGGCCTACTATGCAAGGCCCGTTTGCCTAATAAGCCAAGTTTTCCTGAATTAATATATTTTCTCTATTTTTTTTCTTATGAAATGATAAAGCTACCCATTTCATTATGTATGAGGTCAATTATATTTTATTGGAGTTAAAATTAACGTAGATATATGACCGAACCTAACCAACCCTACCTAACCTAACCTATCTTTATAGGTTAGGTTAGGTTAGGTAGCTGAAAATGTTAGGTAGGTTAGGTAGTCGAAAAAACATTAATTCATGAAAACTTGGCATATTAGGCAAATCGGGCCTTGCATAGTAGGCTGAGAAGTGCGTTCTGGCTACTAGGTACATTATATATATATATATATATATATATATATATAAATATATATATATATATATATATATGAGTCATTTAGTGAGAGATCTTTGTAAGTGTGGATGAGGGTAGTGAGGTGTACTACCCTGCCGGGGTTGAGCTCTGCTCTTTCGGCCCGCCTCTCAACTGTCAATCAACTGTTACTAACTACTAACTTTCCCCCCCCCACACACACACACACACAGGAAGCAGCCCGTAGCAGCTGTCTAACTCCCAGGTACCTATTTACTGCTAGGTAACAGGGGCATCAGGGTGAAAGAAAACTGCCCATTTGTTTCCGCCGGCTGCGGGGATCGAATCCCGGTTTCTAGATCGAATCACGAGTCTAGAGCGCTGTCCACTCAGCTATTAGTCCCCTTTTGTGTGTGTGTGTGTGTGTGTGTGTGTGTGTGTGTGTGTGTGTGTGTGTGTGTGTGTGTGTGTGTGTATATAACTCTAAATATGAACAGACATATAAATGCATATATGAACGTATTCGTCAAAATTGCATCATAAATCCCGTGTACGTCTCCAGACGCAAATCCTGTGTACGTCTCCAGACGCAAATCCTGTGTACGTCTCCAGACGCAAATCCCGTGTACGTCTCCAGACGCAAATCCCGTGTACGTCTCCAGACGCAAATCCTGTGTACGTCTCCAGGCGCAAATCCCGTGTACGTCTCCAGGCGCAAATCCCGTGTACGTCTCCAGACGCAAATCCCGTGTACGTCTCCAGACGCAAATCCCGTGTACGTCTCCAGACGCAAATCCCGTGTACGTCTCCAGACGCAAATCCCGTGTACGTCTCCAGACGCAAATCCCGTGTACGTCTCCAGACGCAAATCCCGTGTACGTCTCCAGACGCAAATCCCGTGTACGTCTCCAGACGCAAATCCCGTGGACGTCTCCAGACGCAAATCCCGTGGACGTCTCCAGACGCAAATCCCGTGGACGTCTCCAGACGCAAATCCCGTGGACGTCTCCAGACGCAAATCCCGTGGACGTCTCCAGACGCAAATCCCGTGGACGTCTCCAGACGCAAATCCCGTGGACGTCTCCAGACGCAAATCCTGTGTACGTCTCCAGACGCAAATCCTGTGTACGTCTCCAGACGCAAATCCTGTGTACGTCTCCAGACGCAAATCCCGTGTACGTCTCCAGACGCAAATCCCGTGTACGTCTCCAGACGCAAATCCCGTGTACGTCTCCAGACGCAAATCCCGTGTACGTCTCCAGACGCAAATCCCGTGTACGTCTCCAGACGCAAATCCCGTGTACGTCTCCAGACGCAAATCCCGTGTACGTCTCCAGACGCAAATCCCGTGTACGTCTCCAGACGCAAATCCCGTGTACGTCTCCAGACGCAAATCCCGTGTACGTCTCCAGACGCAAATCCCGTGTACGTCTCCAGACGCAAATCCTGCGAACACAGGTGTCTACAGGAGCTGGTGCCAGCCCGTTATCCCTTTCAAGCAGATGGTTTTCAGGGGCCAGAGTCTTGGCACTCGCCTCAAGATCTCTCCAGTCACTCATTACCCGCCAGATGATGAGTAACCAGTCACTCATTACCCGCCAGATGATGAGTAACCAGTCACTCATAACCGCCAGATGATGAGTAACCAGTCACTCATTACCCGCCAGATGATGAGTAACAGTCACTCATAACCGCCAGATGATGAGTAACCAGTCACTCATTACCCGCCAGATGATGAGTAACCAGTCACTCATTACCCGCCAGATGATGAGTAACCAGTCACTCATTACCCGCCAGATGATGAGTAACCAGTCACTCATAACCGCCAGATGATGAGTAACCAGTCACTCATTACCCGCCAGATGATGAGTAACCAGTCACTCATAACCGCCAGATGATGAGTAACCAGTCACTCATTACCCGCCAGATGATGAGTAACCAGTCACTCATTACCCGCCAGATGATGAGTAACCAGTCACTCATTACCCGCCAGATGATGAGTAACCAGGCCAATTGACTGCTGTGACCTTCCAAGACTTCATTCTGGATCCTTGAGTTGATGATGTCGCTGTTTGGGATTTTGAAGGTGTCTAATGAAGTCTCTTGGGGTGGATTGCTTGCTTCAGAGTGACATCACTGATGTGTTTAGGGCTTTGGTATGGTCCTTACTGATGTCCCTACTGTTGGGCGAAGTCAGGGGATGAACAAATCCACAAGGGCAGTGACGAGGATTCGAACCTGGGTCTGGGAGCATCCCAGACACTGCCTTAATCGACTGAGCTACGACAGGGTAAAAGGGTTGAAAATCAGGGGATGATTCACTGTTGGCATTAACAGCGTCTGTTGGTTCTATGTAACGGTTCCTGTTATTCAGCTGTTTGCACAGAGCTCTCTCTCTCTCTTTGGCAGAAAGCACGGTGATCTCTTCCTTTCCCAGGAAGGGGTATAGAGTTCCTCCTTTCCCAGAGAGTGTGGGGCGGTGTAGGTGGTGAGGGAGAGGACGGTACGGTCCCTGTGGCTGAGTCCTAGTGGGTCTCTCTCTCTCTCTCTCTCTGTCTCTGTCTCTCTCTCTCTCTCTCTCTCTCTCTCTCTCTCTCTCTCTCTCTCTCTCTCTCTCTCTCTCTCTCTCTCTCTCTCTCTCCTCTCCTCTCTCTCTCTCCTCTCCTCTCTCTCTCTCCTCTCTCTCTCCTCTCTCTCTCTCCTCTCCTCTCTCTCTCTCCTCTCTCTCTCTCTTATGGGATATCTACTTGAAGCTCTGACTCACTCCTAGCCTCAGACCTACCCCTTGCCACCACCACCACTATCCCTGTCACTGTCTATCCCTGCCACCATCCCACCATCACCATCCCACTATCACCATCCCTGCCACCATCACCTCCACACACTACACAGACAGATCAACTGGCCAGCAGGAATAAGAACCTGCAGTTAAGGCAGGAAATTCTATAATTACTTGGAGATTTTGACACATGTGGCTATCATTATACATGCTGGCCATTCAGAAAGCTTTGGAACGTGTTCTTGCTGAACACCGACAACATGTTATCATATTCAAGAACTGTTATTGAAACCTTGCAACAAGAGCATTTGACAGCATCCATATAATCCTATATGTTATAGAATGAATGCAAACACTCAAACGTCAAGGCCGTCGGATACTTATCAACTGGGTGCCAAGTCATGTAGGAATACTAGGGAATGACATTGCAGATGAAGCTGCAAAACTTGCAACTAAGAGGAGGAATGTAGACATTTACATTCCACAGAGTCTATCACACATTACACAAATAATTCGAGATAGAACAATGCTGATGATATATACAACAAAGGACCTGCAAAGTCAAGATCTGCGGGTTGATTCAAGAACTCTACCAGCTACGAACCACTTCGTTTGATGGAGCGACAGAAAATGCACTTCGCATTAGGTTGGGATACCCATGTGCATGGGAAGCACGTCTTACAGGTTCCCGAAGATGAGAGGAAATGTCAGCACTGTGGAGAAATGCCCAACAGACCACTGGAACATTATCTAACACAGTGCACAGTTACCATCACAACAGACCACTGGAACATTATCTAACACAGTGCACAGTTACCACCACAACAGACCACTGGAACATTATCTAACACAGTGCACAGTTACCATCACAACAGACCTCTGGAACATTATCTAACACAGTGCACAGTTACCACCACAACAGACCACTGGAACATTATCTAACACAGTGCACAGTTACCATCACAACAGACCACTGGAACATTATCTAACACAGTGCACAGTTACCACCACAACAGACCACTGGAACATTATCTAACACAGTGCACAGTTACCATCACAACAGACCACTGGAACATTATCTAACACAGTGCACAGTTACCACCACAACAGACCACTGGAACATTATCTAACACAGTGCACAATTACCACCACAACAGACCACTGGAACATTATCTAACACAGTGCACAGTTACCACCAGAACAGACCACTGGAACATTATCTAACACAGTGCACAGTTACCACCACAACAGACCACTGGAACATTATCTAACACAGTGCACAATTACCACCACAACAGACCACTGGAACATTATCTAACACAGTGCACAGTTACCACCACAACAGACCACTGGAACATTATCTAACACAGTGCACAATTACCACCACAACAGACCACTGGAACATTATCTAACACAGTGCACAGTTACCACCACAACAGACCACTGGAACATTATCTAACACAGACAAACCCATTAAGATTTCAACTTAGATTCAACAGAGCAGAAGAAGTTGTTAAACACATGGGACAAAATCTTACTGAAGCGACCATACGAGTCATAAATACTCATACTCCGCTTAAGTAAAACAGAAACAAGCAACACTTAGTGGGCCAGCCAGAGGCTTAGGGCCCGCCCAGTGGGCCAGCCAGAGGCTTAGGGCCCGCCCAGTGGGCCAGCCAGAGGCTTAGGGCCCGCCCAGTGGGCCAGCCAGAGGCTTAGGGCCCGCCCAGTGGGCCAGCCAGAGACTTAGGGCCCGCCCAGTGGGCCAGCCAGAGGCTTAGGGCCCGCCCAGTGGGCCAGCCAGAGACTTAGGGCCCGCCCAGTGGGCCAGCCAGAGGCTTAGGGCCCGCCCAGTGGGCCAGCCAGAGACTTAGGGCCCGCCCAGTGGGCCAGCCAGAGGCTTAGAACCCGCCCAGTGGGCCAGCCAGAGGCTTAGGGCCCGCCCAGTGGGCCAGCCAGAGGCTTAGGGCCCGCCCAGTGGGCCAGCCAGAGGCTTAGGGCCCGCCCAGTGGGCCAGCCAGAGGCTCAGGGCCCGCCCAGTGGGCCAGCCAGAGGCTTAGGGCCCGCCCAGTGGGCCAGCCAGAGGCTTAGGGCCCGCCCAGTGGGCCAGCCAGAGGCTTAGGGCCCGCCCAGTGGGCCAGCCAGAGACTTAGGGCCCGCCCAGTGGGCCAGCCAGAGGCTTAGGGCCCGCCCAGTGGGCCAGCCAGAGGCTTAGGGCCCGCCCAGTGGGCCAGCCAGAGGCTCAGGGCCCGCCCAGTGGGCCAGCCAGAGACTTAGGGCCCGCCCAGTGGGCCAGCCAGAGGCTTAGGGCCCGCCCAGTGGGCCAGCCAGAGACTTAGGGCCCGCCCAGTGGGCCAGCCAGAGGCTTAGGGCCCGCCCAGTGGGCCAGCCAGAGACTTAGGGCCCGCCCAGTGGGCCAGCCAGAGGCTTAGGGCCCGCCCAGTGGGCCAGCCAGAGGCTTAGGGCCCGCCCAGTGGGCCAGCCAGAGGCTTAGGGCCCGCCCAGTGGGCCAGCCAGAGGCTTAGGGCCCGCCCAGTGGGCCAGCCAGAGGCGCAGAAATATCCCTGTCAACGAAAATAAATAGCCAAGCAGTCAACTAAAGAGACACCTTGGCAAGCAGACACCTGGCCAAGCAGACACCTGGCCAAGCAGAGACCTGGCCAAGCAGAGACCTGGCCAAGCAGACACCTGGCCAAGCAGACACCTGGCCAAGCAGACACCTGGCCAAGCAGAGACCTGGCCAAGCAGACACCTGGCCAAGCAGAGACCTGGCCAAGCAGAGACCTGGCCAAGCAGAGACCTGGCCAAGCAGAGACCTGGCCAAGCAGAGACCTGGCCAAGCAGACACCTGGCCAAGCAGACACCTGGCCAAGCAGAGACCTGGCCAAGCAGACACCTGGCCAAGCAGAGACCTGGCCAAGCAGACACCTGGCCAAGCAGACACCTGGCCAAGCAGAGACCTGGCCAAGCAGACACCTGGCCAAGCAGACACCTGGCCAAGCAGACACCTGGCCAAGCAGACACCTGGCCAAGCAGACACCTGGCCAAGCAGACACCTGGCCAAGCAGACACCTGGCCAAGCAGACACCTGGCCAAGCAGACACCTGGCCAAGCAGACACCTGGCCAAGCAGACACCTGGCCAAGCAGACACCTGGCCAAGCAGACACCTGGCCAAGCAGACACCTGGCCAAGCAGACACCTGGCCAAGCAGACACCTGGCCAAGCAGACACCTGGCCAAGCAGAGACCTGGCCAAGCAGACACCTGGCCAAGCAGACACCTGGCCAAGCAGACACCTGGCCAAGCAGAGACCTGGCCAAGCAGACACCTGGCCAAGCAGACACCTGGCCAAGCAGACACCTGGCCAAGCAGAGACCTGGCCAAGCAGACACCTGGCCAAGCAGACACCTGGCCAAGCAGACACCTGGCCAAGGAGACACCTGGCCAAGCAGACACCTGGCCAAGCAGACACCTGGCCAAGCAGACACCTGGCCAAGCAGACACCTGGCCAAGCAGAGACCTGGCCAAGGAGACACCTGGCCAAGCAGACACCTGGCCAAGCAGAGACCTGGCCAAGCAGACACCTGGCCAAGCAGAGACCTGGCCAAGCAGACACCTGGCCAAGCAGACACCTGGCCAAGCAGAGACCTGGCCAAGCAGACACCTGGCCAAGCAGACACCTGGCCAAGCAGACACCTGGCCAAGCAGAGACCTGGCCAAGCAGACACCTGGCCAAGCAGACACCTGGCCAAGCAGACACCTGGCCAAGCAGACACCTGGCCAAGCAGACACCTGGCCAAGCAGACACCTGGCCAAGCAGAGACCTGGCCAAGCAGACACCTGGCCAAGCAGAGACCTGGCCAAGCAGAGACCTGGCCAAGCAGACACCTGGCCAAGCAGACACCTGGCCAAGCAGAGACCTGGCCAAGCAGACACCTGGCCAAGCAGACACCTGGCCAAGCAGACACCTGGCCAAGCAGACACCTGGCCAAGCAGACACCTGGCCAAGCAGAGACCTGGCCAAGCAGAGACCTGGCCAAGCAGACACCTGGCCAAGCAGACACCTGGCCAAGCAGACACCTGGCCAAGCAGACACCTGGCCAAGCAGACACCTGGCCAAGCAGACACCTGGCCAAGCAGAGACCTGGCCAAGCAGACACCTGGCCAAGCAGACACCTGGCCAAGCAGAGACCTGGCCAAGCAGACACCTGGCCAAGCAGACACCTGGCCAAGCAGACACCTGGCCAAGCAGACACCTGGCCAAGCAGACACCTGGCCAAGCAGAGACCTGGCCAAGCAGACACCAGGCCAAGCAGACACCTGGCCAAGCAGACACCTGGCCAAGGAGACACCTGGCCAAGCAGACACCTGGCCAAGCAGACACCTGGCCAAGCAGACACCTGGCCAAGCAGACACCTGGCCAAGCAGAGACCTGGCCAAGGAGACACCTGGCCAAGCAGACACCTGGCCAAGCAGACACCTGGCCAAGCAGACACCTGGCCAAGCAGACACCTGGCCAAGCAGACACCTGGCCAAGCAGACACCACCGACGGTAATCATCTAGCAGAATATACGAAGCACTTGGTATGGAGTGTTCAGAGGGCCCAGGAGCTAAATTCCAACCCTGAGTGAAGACAGAAGGCCAAGGTTTGTTCCTTTATCTTTATCTTTATCTTTATCTGCATCTTATCTCTATTTCTTTACTTCTCTCTTTTCCTTCTTTTCTTTCACATTCTATAACATGGCATTTATTTATATTGAATTCTATTTGCCACCTTACGCTCCAAGCACCAAGATAAAATATGTTGATTAACGACCCAGCGGGTTTTCTTCCTATTGGGGAGTGTTGTACATGCTGCTATGGCGGTGTGTCCACTCACAGGATGAGTGGCGCTGCCCAATACTGTCACTATGGCGGTGTGTCCACTCACAGGATGAGTGACGCTGCCCAGTACTGTCACTATGGCGGTGTGTCCACTCACAGGATGAGTGGCGCTGCCCAATACTGTCACTATGGCGGTGTGTCCACTCACAGGATGAGTGACGCTGCCCAGTACTGTCACTATGGCGGTGTGTCCACTCACAGGATGAGTGGCGCTGCCCAATACTGTCACTATGGCGGTGTGTCCACTCACAGGATGAGTGGCGCTGCCCAATACTGTCACTATGGCGGTGTGTCCACTCACAGGATGAGTGTCGCTGCCCAATACTGTCACTATGGCGGTGTGTCCACTCACAGGATGAGTGGCGCTGCCCAATACTGTCACTATGGCGGTGTGTCCACTCACAGGATGAGTGGCGCTGCCCAATACTGTCACTATGGCGGTGTGTCCACTCACAGGATGAGTGGCGCTGCCCAATACTGTCACTATGGCGGTGTGTCCACTCACAGAATGAGTGGCGCTGCCCAATACTGTCACTATGTCGGTGTGTCCACTCACAGGATGAGTGGCGCTGCCCAATACTGTCACTATGGTGGTGTGTCCACTCACAGGATGAGTGGCGCTGCCCAATACTGTCACTATGGCGGTGTGTCCACTCACAGGATGAGTGACGCTGCCCAATACTGTCACTATGGTGGTGTGTCCACTCACAGGATGAGTGGCGCTGCCCAATACTGTCACTATGGCGGTGTGTCCACTCACAGGATGAGCGGCGCTGCCCAATACTGTCACTATGGCGGTGTGTCCACTCACAGGATGAGTGACGCTGCCCAATACTGTCACTATGGTGGTGTGTCCACTCACAGGATGAGTGGCGCTGCCCAATACTGTCACTATGGCGGTGTGTCCACTCACAGGATGAGCGGCGCTGCCCAATACTGTCACTATGGTGGTGTGTCCACTCACAGGATGAGTGACGCTGCCCAATACTGTCACTATGGTGGTGTGTCCACTCACAGGATGAGTGGCGCTGCCCAATACTGTCACTATTGCGGTGTGTCCACTCACAAGATGAGTGGCGCTGCCCAATACTGTCACTATGGCGGTGTGTCCACTCACAGGATGAGTGGCGCTGCACAATACTGTCACTATGGTGGTGTGTCCACTCACAGGATGAGTGGCGCTGCCCAATACTGTCACTATGGCGGTGTGTCCACTCACAGGATGAGCGGCGCTGCCCAATACTGTCACTATGGCGGTGTGTCCACTCACAGGATGAGTGGCGCTGCCCAATACTGTCACTATGGTGGTGTGTCCACTCACAAGATGAGTGGCGCTGCCCAATACTGTCACTATGGTGGTGTGTCCACTCACAAGATGAGTGGCGCTGCCCAATACTGTCACTATGGCGGTGTGTCCACTCACAGGATGAGTGACGTTGCCCAATACTGTCACTATGGTGGTGTGTCCACTCACAAGATGAGTGACGTTGCCCAATACTGTCACTATGGTGGTGTGTCCACTCACAGGATGAGTGGCGCTGCCCAATATTGTCACTATGGCGGTGTGTCCACTCACAGGATGAGTGGCGCTGCCCAATACTGTCACTATGGCGGTGTGTCCACTCACAGGATGAGTGACGTTGCCCAATACTGTCACTATGGTGGTGTGTCCACTCACAGGATGAGTGGCGCTGCCCAATACTGTCACTATGGCGGTGTGTCCACTCACAGGATGAGTGGCGCTGCCCAATACTGTCACTATGGCGGTGTGTCCACTCACAGGATGAGTGACGCTGCCCAATACTGTCACTATGGCGGTGTGTCCACTCACAGGATGAGTGACGCTGCCCAATACTGTCACTATGGTGGTGTGTTCACTCACAGGATGAGTGGCGCTGCCCAATACTGTCACTATGGCGGTGTGTCCACTCACAGGATGAGCGGCGCTGCCCAATACTGTCACTATGGCGGTGTGTCCACTCACAAGATGAGTGGCGCTGCCCAATACTGTCACTATGGCAGTGTGTCCACTCACAGGATGAGTGGCGCTGCACAATACTGTCACTATGG